TAGATATTTATTAACTGTTGAACCATGAAACATCCATCAAGTACTTTGGCATCTGGACCTTAGGCTTTGTCTTCATTCCAGGGCCTATCATTGACCTAGGTAGCCTCCCTCTCAATATAGTTGACCTACTAGCACCTTAGCCTCACAGCTCAGATAAGGTTATCAAGCTAGTCAACTTTGTGCTCAAATCTAGCTCTGTTCCTGTTGGGTGTATGACCTTAGGCAATTATCTCCCCTAGAGCCTTTAAAGTCTTATGGCTCCATAAAAAATTAAAATAAAGAAAAAAGCCTTTTGGCTCCATTGCCTGGACCAATCCAGTCATAATTCCAGTCTGATCTTTGCCCCCGTGACCAGTCGATTGGCATATATGGTGCAAATTAGCACAACTATAAATTTATGACCTTCAACCACAGACAGATCCTCCACAATGCTGTACAGTCATCCTATGGGTCTTTAAATCACCCCCTCCACCCTAAATTTCTAAATGATGCTTCCAAACCTTTACCACTCTCCTCATGACCCCTTTCCACAAACCATCATTAGATGGGAACTCCCTCAATCTTTTACCCTCCCTCCACCCAACGAGAGACTTATTTTCACTTACACTGATCATTTCCTCCTTCCATCTCACTTGAGAGGGTATTCCAATACCTGATCAAGGCTACCCTGGATGCCATCCGTTTTTATTTTCTTTGATGCTTCCGTCTTCTCACTTATGCATTCTGTATTATAACCTCAATCCTCTCTCTACTGCTCTCTTCCCTTAGTCTATGAACATGCTAAAGCTTTTTTATCTTTAAAGAGAAAAAAAGACCTCTATCTTCTACACCAACACTTTCTTTTTCATTCACAGACAACCTTCTTCAAAGATTACTCTATGAAGCCATCACTGCTTCTTTTAAAGATTTTTTTTTAATTTATTTTTATTAGAGAGCGAGCAAGAGAGAAACAGCATGAGAGAGGAGAGGGTCAGAGGGAGAAGCAGGCTCACCACTGAGCCGGGAGCCCGATGTGGGACTCGATCCCGGGACTCCAGGATCATGACCTGAGCCGAAGGCAGTCGCTTAACCAACTGAGCCACCCAGGCGCCCAAGCCATCACTGCTTCTTTACTACTCTCTGCATTCACTACTTTATCCACTTGCATCTGGCTTCCATTCCCACTTGAATAGTGAAGCTACTTCAGCAGAAGCCAAAGGTGACATCCATATCACCCAATCCATTATGGAATTCTTAGACTTTGATACACATGCCATCTGTGTGTCGTTGACCATTGGCCACACCCCTTCTTAAGTTCCTTCTTCTTTGGCACCTGTCACATCACACTCTGCTGGTTCCCCACCTACCTCTGATGACTTTTTCTCAGTCTTCCCTCTCTAACCATTATATGCTTATATTCTCTTGGGCTCTGCCCTCACCTTTTCTCTTCATTTCATTCTCACTTTTATTTGGTGATCCCATCTAACTCATAGCTCCAAATTCACCCATAATCCGATGACTTCCTAAAATATTTGCCTGGATATCCCAAACATCCCAGAGCTCTTCTGAGCCCCAGGACAACAGCTCCCTTTTGCACATTTCCACTTGGTGGCCACACAGATGTATCAAATTCAATATGTCCTAATTTAAAGTCTTCATCTTCCCCCCTTCTCCCCCCATCCCTACCTGCCCTTTCTGGGCTCTTGTCTTATTGGGCGATACCACAGAAGCCAGAAATCCGAGTATTGTTCTTAGCTCCTCATTCAAATCCTCTCTTTTCTTCTATTCTCAATTACTAAAATCCTATTCCAGTTGTTTCCTAAATCTCTTGAATTTGTCTCTTTCTCTTCAGTCCCTCAACTACTGCTCCATCATCTCTAATCTGGACCCATGTACCTGACTCCTGCCTTATCCTTTCCAATCTATTCTTTGTGAAGCTTCTAGCAGCTCCCTTTCCTTGATTTTTTTTTTTTAATTAGCATAGTTCCCTTTCCTTGTTAAGGTAGCTTTCTATTTTTTTTTTAAAGATTTTATTTATTTATTTGAGACAGAGAGAATGAGATACAGAGAGCATGAGAGGGAGGAGGGTCAGAGGGAGAAGCAGACTCCCTGCCGAGCAGGGAGCCCGATGCGGGACTCGATCCCAGGACTCCGGGATCATGACCTGAGCCGAAGGCAGTCACTTAACCAACTGAGCCACCCAGGCACCCAAGGTAACTTTCTAAATAGCATATCAGTCCTCGGTGTAGAATCTTTAAGTGAGAGGAATATGGCCAGAGGATAGTAAAGTTATATAAATTAATTTTAATAGCTATTTTAATGTATAATTTCTATGTTAAATTTGTAATTTTTAAAAAGATTTTATTTATTTATCTGACAGAGAGAGACACAGCGAGAGAGGGAACACAAGCAGGGGGAGTGGGAGAGGGAGAAGCAGGCTTCCGGTGGAGCAGGGAGCCCGATGCGGGGCTCGATCCCAGGACCCTAGGATCATGACCTGAGCTGAAGGCAGACACTTAACCAATGAGCCACCCAGGCGCCCCTAAATTTATAATTTTAAAAAATATTTTAACATTTTACTTACTTATTTTTTAAGATTTTATTTATTTATTGGACAGAGAGAGAGCACAAGCAGGGAGAGTGACAGAAGGAGAAGATGACTCTGGGATCATGACCTGAGCCGAAGACAGATGCTTAACCGACTGAGCCACCCAGGTGCCCCTATTGAAGTATAGTTGATACAATGCTACATGACTTTCAGGTGTATTAAATTTATAATTGTAAAGTATCAGGACATTTATTAGAGGAATGTGCAGAACTTCCATTTTAGATCCTCTTTCTCAGAATCAGGCAAGATAACATGGCATTCAAGAACTTGGTTTTTATGGCTAAAATCAAAACCGCAAGAAAGAACATGTGTTGGCAAAGTTGTGGAGAAAAAGGAACCGTTTTGCACTGTTAGTGGAAATGGAAACTGATGTAGCCACTGTGGAGAACAGTATGGAGTTTCCTCAAAAAGTTAAAAATAGAGCTACCCTATGATCCAGTAACTGCACGACTGGGTATTTACCCAAAAAATACAAAAACACTAATTCAAAAGGATATATGCACCCCTCTGTTTATTGCAGCATTATTTATAATAGCCAAATTATGGATGCAGCCCAAGTAACCATGGATAGATGAATGGATAAAGAAGATGGGATACACACACACACACACACACAATGAAATATGTGTGTGTGTATAAAAAAAAGAATGAAATCTTGTCCTTTGCAACAGCATGGATGGAGCTAGAGAGTCCAATGCTAAGCGAAATAAGTCAGAGGCAGACAAACATTATATGATTTAACTCATATGTAGAGTTTAAGAAACAAAACAAACTAGGGGCGCCTGGGTGGCTCAGTCGTTAAGCGTCTGCCTTCAGCTCAGGTCATGATCTCAGGGTCCTGGGATCAAGCCCCGCATCGGGCTCCCTGCTCCGCGGAAGCCTGCTTCTCCCTCTCCCGCTTCCCCTGACTGTGTTCCCTCTCTCTCTGTGTCTCTCTCTATCTTTAAAAAAAAAAAAAGAAAAGAAAAGAAACAAAGCAAACTAACAAAGGACAAAAGAGAGAGAGAGGGAAACAAACGGAGTAACAGACTCTTAACTATAGAGAACATACTGATGGTTACCAGAGGGGAGGTGGGTCGGGGGACGGGTGAAATAAGAAATGGGGATTAAGTAGTGTGCTTGGGATGAGCACTGGGTGATGTATGGAATTTACTATATTGTACACCTGAAACTAATATAACACTATATGTTAGCTATACTGGAATTAAAATTAAAAACTTAAAAAGAAGAACTTGGTTTTTAATAGTTTTCAGTTGCCAGTTTGGTAAAATACACACTATATATCTATGAAATTTAGTGCTCAAAGAAAATAATAAAAATGTTTATTTCATTTATACAAAATTTTAAAGTTCTCCCCATATTACGGGGGGGGGGGGAAGGAATCAGTTTGTCAGTACTTTTCTTAAGATAATATCCAGTTCCCTCTCACTTCTGTACCTGATGTGAGAGAGCTGGTTTTATACTTGGAATGCTAGGAAATAGAGTGCAGGGCAGAGCAGCAGATTTTATATTTATTTGTTTGATTCTTTCTCACTGTTCCTCCCAATTCTTAGGTCTAGGGAGAGAAGGAAACTGGCAGCAGAAGTACCTATATACATATATATATATATGTCTGTGACATTTTTTTTCTAGGTCCAGTAACAGTTTTATTCCTTAGGAACAAAGACATGCAGGAAAGAAACTGCAAAAAGAAACATGAGCACGAACAACAAAATGGCACGGAGGCGGGGGCGGGGGGTGCCAGATGGATGATATGTTCCACGGTGGAGGCTGTCAGGCCCTCGTTTCTCGGATTAACGTCTGCCCCATCCCCAAGTGCCCATTACATAGGTAGAGGGTGGAGGCAATCTTCCCTACCCTGTACAAAGGAGATAAACGTACCTGTCTATTCCCAGGGGCCTCTCAGGGGCACCAAAACCTCCCCATCAAGAATGGAGGTAGTCAGGGTGCTTGGGTGGCTCAGTCGGTTAAGCATCTGCCTTGGGCTCAGGTCACGATCCCAGAGTCCTGGGATCGATCCCCTCATCGGGGAGCCTGCTTCTCCCTCTCTCTCTGCCACTCCCCCTGCTGTGCTCTCTCTCTCTCTCTGTCTGTCAAATAAATAAATAAAATCTTAAAAAAAAAAAGAATGGAGGTAGATAAGAGTGAGAGGGGCCTGGGGGTCACAGACATACACACACACACACACACATATACATATTTTTTTTAAAGATTTTATTTATTTTTATTTGAGAGAGAGAGAATGGGAGAGAGGGAGTACATGAGAGGGGGGAGGGTCAGAGGGAGAAGCAGACTCCCCGCCCAGCAGGGAGCCTGATGCGGGACTCGATCCAGGGACTCCAGGATCATGACCTGAGCCGAAGGCAGTCGCTTAACCAACTGAGCCACCCAGGCGCCCCCACACATATACATATTTAATATAGAACGCTTCACGAACTTGTCACCCTTGCTCAGGGGCCATGCTAATCTTCTCTGTATCGCTCTAATCTTAGTCTATGTGCTGCCAAAGCGAGCACTATATATATTTCTCCCTTTTTTGATTGAGATATAACTGACATACAACATTATAGTATTGGTTTCAGATGTACAACATAATGACTCAATATCTGTATATATTAGGAGATGATCACCACAATAAGTCTAGTCAATATCCATCACCACACATAGTTACAAGTATTTTTTCTTGGATAGAGCTTTTAAGATCTACTCTCTTGGCAACTTTCACATATATAATACAGTACCATTAACTATAGTCACCATGCCTCTATTTTTAATCAGTATATTTTTAATACTTTTTGATATCTGATATGACGATTATCTCCTCTTTACTTTTTTAAAGGCCATATTATCTTTAATTTTAACCCTACTCTTTTTAATTAATTTATTTATTTAGAGAGAGTGCACGAGCAGGGAGAGGGGCAGAGGGAGAGGGAGAAAGAAAGAATCTCCAGCAGATTCTGTGCTGAGCTCAGAGCCTGAAACGGAGCTTGATCCCACAATCTCGAGATCACGACCTGAGCCATAATCAAGAGTCAGACTCAACTGACTGAGCCACTCAGGTGCCCCAATCCTACTCCCGCTTTTCAAAATGTCTATTATTCTCACACGTTTATGCCAAATAAAATTAAATCTTAGGTTGCTAAAGAGAAAAAGGATCAAGGAAGAATGGATGTTTAGAATTTCTTTTTATTTCATTTTCCAAAAGTAAGACTGAAAGGCATCTTGAGATTTTTGAATGGCTAACTGTAGAGATTAGGACTGACTCTGGAAGCCACGATTTCCTGACTTTGAATTCCAGCCCTACTGCTCACAAGCTGGGTAGGCTTGGGTAAGTACCTTAACCTCTCTGTGTCCTCAGCAGTAACACATTGGGATAATACTGTAATACCTACTACAGGCTTGTTGTGAAGATTGGACAAGTGACCACATAAATCTCTTGAACAGTGCCTGGCAGGTAGGAAGTCCTTAGTAAATGCTGACTCACAGCAATGCCTCGCCTAGCACCACGAGAACAGAAACTTCTGTTTTAGCCACTGCCCCATCACTGGTACCTAGAAAACAGCAATAAATGTTTGCAATTCAATTTACTGAAGTTCAACAAATATTCATGAATATTTATGACAGGCCTGACAGGTACCAGAGATCCAGTGATGAGTAAGAATTGGGCCCTGGCCTAGAGAAGTGAAGACAGACAGGAGGATAGTGTTCTCTCTCCATTATTTCTTAGCATATGCTATTCCTCTGCCTGGAACAGCCCCCCCCTCCTTCCCCCGCCCCCACACATACTTCTTCCTCTGGGTAATTCCTACATTATTCACATCCTTAAAACTCTCAGCTCAGGTACTACATTTCCACAGAAAAGCTTTCCTGACGTCCCAGTATGGGTGGGGCACCTTCCGCAGCCCTGTGCAAACTTCTGTCCTCTTCTTAGCAGGTGGTAATTTGTCTGTGTCCTCCCACTGACTAGACTGAGCGATCCGAGGTCAGGACAGTGCATCACAGCTCTGGGGCCTTAGTGCCCAGCCCAGTCTTTGCTACGTAATCTGTGCATAATATGTGGTAAAGAAATGAAAGATGATGAAAAAACTTGGTAATCTTTACAGGACAAGAGGAGTTTGGGGGGTTTTTTTGAACAGCTGTGTCAGAGCTTTAAGAAGAAAGACATATACTATACTGCAAATTATTTTTAAGTGGCATAATAAGCCAAACTTCATAAAAATCTCCTTTTCAACCTTCTTAGGTATTAAATTGTTTTTTTTTTTTTTTCTAATTTTAACTTCAAAAAATTATTTATTTATTTATTTGACAGAGAGAGACATAGTGAGAGCAGGAACACAAGCAGGGGGAGCGGCAGGCAGAGGGAGAAGCAGGCTCCCCGCAGAGCAGGGAGCCCGATGCGGGGCTCGATCCCAGGACCCTGGGATCATGGCCTGAGCCGAAGGCAGACGCTTAACCAACTGAGCCACCCAGGCGCCCCGGTACTAAATTGTTTTGAAAGTTACATAAAAGGAAACATCTAAGTTAAGTGGTGAGAAGTGAAAATAAAATATCATGGCTATGTCAGTGAGGTAACCATGCAACCAGTAACAGCAGTCCAAGGAGCTGACAGAGCACTGCAGGATGCGAGTCATTTCCATACAGCCACAGTGATTTCCCTCCTTTATAACACTGGGCAGGAGAAAGATTCATCGCCCCCACCCCCCCGACGGGTGTCAGAAGTCTTTTATAGAATACATTTTAAATGGTACATTAGAATGGCTCTGGTCGTTATGGAAAAACAAAAGACATTGGTCAAAGTAAGCAAGCGGTTTGGCTAACGTTGAGGGATTAGGTGCTAGGATAATCCCAACTGGGGTTTAGGGTTGCCTGAGACTCGGGTGGGCGTGCTTTCTCTGGACCATGTTACCATATCAAGCTTATATTCCTCCAGTATGCAGGGCAGGGAGGCTGTGGTAGGAATGGGTAAAAATGGTTTTACAGACAGAAAAGCTTTCCCATTGTCTTGCTGTGCTTCCTCGCCATCTCGTGATCTTTAGTGGGCTCCTCTGGGGGTGTCTCCCCCTGCAAGCCCCTCTCACCCTATAGCCTCATCTCTAAAGGGCCAGGATCCACTCGCTCTCTCCCCACCCAGCTGGGAAAACCTGTTAGATCTGGAGCCAGGGAAACCATTATCATCAGAGTGAAAATGGCCCAGGGAGTTTCACATAGGATCCTAAGGAAGGCTGTTAGTATTTTAATAGACGAAATCTTAATCCAAGAAAATGAATTCCTGATTTTCAAAGTCTCAGGCATCCACAAGCAAGCGGTGGGAGGGGTTTTTGGGTCTTGCCCACGGCAGCTGTCTACTCCACCTACTTAGATGGCTGATGTGTCTTAAATCTTAGTTTCTGTTAAAAAAAAAAAAAAGTTCTCTTCCTTCTTCCTTAAAAATCTCCCTAGGGTTGTGGCCCCTAAAAAAAAATTACAATCACATGTGATGTCTTAAGGAAAACCACAAGTATGAAAACCTCGGGGGAATCTTTCATCCAAATACTTCATACTATCTGGAACTATCAACAAATCAATCCGGTTCTAACCTCCCACTCCCCAAATCAGAGCAGAGGGAGAGGCTTTTGAATCGCGCAGTCTTCCCCCAGCTAAAATCATTCTGGGAGAAAACCAGCATGCAATCGCATTCAGACAAGACTTCTCGGTAGTTGTTTAAGATTTCTGCATTAGCGTCGCGTTAGGCTTTCTCGCCCCTTTCCAAATGGTTTACAATCACCCCTCCCTCCCCAGGGGTTTGGGAATGAATCATCAACCCTGCCTTTTTCAAGCACACTATTAAATTAGTCTACAGCCTGGAACCAAACATTTGTTCTTACAAACATTTCTTTCATGTCATCACTGTAACGGATACCAGCAATCCAGCAGGGCCAGTCTTACCTCCCACAAGGCAGCAGCAGGGACAGCCGGGCCCACACTTCTGCTGTCACGCACCATTGGGACAAATTTAAAAATCATTTTTTGGGGGGGGTCGGGAAATTCAGGCTAAAATTAGAAAAGGTCAACTTAAATTTACAGGAAAATTCCGAATTTCTTGTCATTCATACTGAGAAGTTAAAAACAACTTCTTCCTCTGAATCTCCATCTTATGTAAGATGCCTTTAAAGGACAGCCACATGTTAAAATAAACAGTGTTTTTCAGATTCCAGCTTCAAGAACTTCAAAATGCTTTCAGTCCATTTTTAATTTCCAGAAACAGCCATTGTTGAATAGAAAAATATGTGATAATAATAATGGCTACTATTTAGTGATGTCTTATTATGAAAATCAGATCTTTCCCGAAATCTGTAGGTGAGCTGACATATATAAAAGCACCTAGCACAGTTCACGAATTCATTCCTTCATCCCTCAGAGAGTGCTATCACTATGCTAGGGATTCGAATGCAGCAATAAACAAAACATACAGAAACCCCTGAGGTGGCTCTTATATCGCAGGGAGGGTCGGGTAAGACAGATTACAAACATAATAAATCAGTAAATATAGAGAGAAATGCTAGAGAGAAATGAGGGCAGGAAAGGAAACTAGACAGTGGTGGGGACGGGGAAGACATTACAATTTTAAGCAGGAGGGTCAGGGAAGGTGGCATTTGAGGAAGGTCTTAAAGGAGATGTGACTTTGAAGAAGAGGACTCCACGTGGAGGAAACCGCAAGTGCAAAGGCCCTGAGGCAGGTGTTCCTGGCATGACTAAGGAACAGCAAAGAGTCCAGTGAGGTCTGTGCTGAGTAAGTAAGGGAGAGGGGGTTACGTCATAGACATAGGGTGGGGAAGGGAGTGAGCAGATTATGCAAGGCCTTGTAGGGCATTGCAAAGACTTTGGCTTTTACTTCAAATGAATTGGGAAGCCATGCGAAGATGTTGAACAGAGAAATGACATGATCTAACTTAGTCTTTGAAAAAATGATTTTGGGGGTGCCTGGGTGGCTCAGTCTGTTAAGCCCCTGCCTTCAGCTCAGGTCATGATTCCAGGGCTCCCTGCTCAGCGGGATCTGCTTCTCCTTCTCCTTCTGCCCCTCCCCCCCAATTGTGTGTGTGCTCTCTCTCTCAAATAAATAAAATCTTTAAAAACAATTAAAATTTAAAAAAGAAAAATGATTTTGGTTGCTGTGTTGCAAATAGATTTAAGAAAGGCAAGAATAGAAGCAAGCAGAATAACTGGATACGTACTGGGTACTTCAGAGATACTTGTTTATTACAAATTGCCTTTTTACATGAAGTTCCCTCTTTTTTTACTTATTCTCCTTTAAAAACTTTTACTTATTTATTCCCTTCTTCTCCATGTTAGTTGAGGTTGTACTGTATTCAAACTGCGAAGCAATACAAAGAAACTGCATTTCTTTGAAACATTGAAGGCATTTCAGACTTTTCACGGAATCAAACTGGTCTCATTTGACTTCTCCTTTTCTTTTCCTTCATTTGGGCAAAGAATTCAAGATGGCTTATTCTCTGTGAGCAGAAACAACTACAGATCA